AAGACCACGTGAGGACGCGGCGAGAAGACGGCCGCCTGCAGCCAAGGAGAGCGGCCTCTGGAGAAACCGGACGCTCAGAACCGTGAGAAACAAACGTCTGCAGGTTGAGCCGCCCTGTCTGTGGTGCGGTTACGGCAGCCCGAGCCGGCTGGTAAGTTATGTTCATGGTTTCTACGGGTCAGGAGTGCACGAGGAGTTCACCTGGGTGGACCGGGGCGGGTCTCCCAGGGGTTGGCCGTGGCTGCTTCTGACAACTCTGGTCACCCCCTCCAAACGCGGGGAGCACGGTGAGATGCATTCCTTTTGCTTCTGTGATACCGTTTTTGCCTGGTTTTCTGCCAGCCTTCCGGCAACTCAGAATCCTTCTCCTTTGTCCCTGGAATGTCCAAGTTTCTCTGGCTTTCTTCTCCCTACCACACATTTCTCTGTGTTATTTCATTTGCTCTGATGCCATAAATACTGTCTCTCTGATGACGCTCAAAGGTTGATAATTAGCTCCAGACACACACATGCAATCGCTCTTTAAACATCTCCCCTTGAATGTCCTACGACTTATTGTACGTCCACCCACCTCCATGCACACTAGCACACACTTGCGGCACACTCATGCCCACGTGTTTGTGCACAGAGACACAATCACAACACACGTGCGTACAAGCACATACACATGCTCACACCCATGCACACCACACACAGCCGGCTTCCCTGTCCCAGAAAACAAAGCCACATCCATCTAGCTGTCCGAGGCAAGACCTCGGGAACCTTCTTTGGTTCTGCCCTTTCCTCCTGCACGTCATCGATCACTACATTCCAAATTCCTTTCAATTCCACCTCTTAAATAGCTCTTTGCTTTTTAAAAAAATCCTCACCTGAGGACATTTTTCCTTATTTTTTAGAGAGAGAGGAAAGGAGAGAGAAAGACATCGATTCGAGAGAGAAGCATTGATCGGTTGCCTCTCGTACATGTCCAACCAGGGATTGAACCCGCAACCTAGGTATATGTCCTGACTGGGAATTGAACCTGCAACCTTGCGGTGACAGGATGATGTTTAACCAGCTGAGCCACAGCTATCAAGGCAACAGCTCTTTTCTTTCTAACACGAGTCCACGCCTTCCCACTTTCTCCTGCCAGCAAGCTCCCACCATTTCACGCTGCATCTCATCTGAGCTCCGATGCCGCCCAAATCCAATCTAATGTCCACACCTGGCCAGAGGAATAATCCTAAAACACAAAGCTGATGATTGCTCTCTGCCGCAGAAAAAAATGTCCACGCCCTTCCTCTGTTCACCGAGGAAGGGCTTCCTCTGGCTCCTTCCTCTGGCTCCTCCGCTCACCGAGACCAGCCTGGGCATTTCCTCTGATAATAACGCCGTGGGTTCTACCAAACTCGTCTGCACTTACTTACCTGTCCGCACCTTCCAGGTGGACAAAAGCACCTTCTCCGGTTCAGTCAGCGATTCACAATTTTAACCGTGCCACGTACGATGTGTTGTTAATGCAGTGACGTGGGAACGACTAACATTTGTCACCCATCACCCTTTCCTAGCACGGCGCCTGGCACACTGCGGTTGCTTCGTGTTTGCTGAGTAACTAAACGAGAACGTGGGAGCTGCCCACCAAAGACTAATTACCCGCACCCCCTTCTCAGTTTTAGAATTTTCCATTCACGGGAACGAGTTTTATAAAAGTGATCTCCATGGTTCACGTTTATAGAAAGGGTCTTTTTAGTGCAAAAGACAGAGGTAAATTCTACCTCCATGCTTTCGGGCTGACAGGTATCTTGGAGCAGCCGCCATTCCTCAGGGAGACTGGACCGGCAGCTGCAGGAACGAACTCGGCCAAGCTCTTCAGGAATTTAGCATGTAAACTAAAGACATTCGACACAACCCGATGACAAAGAAACACTCTTTACATGACCTGGAAACTCCGGGGTTGGGGGGCAGCCCCTGGAGCCCTCCACCCCAGTGGGTGACAAAGCTCACCGACGGGGTTGAGACCTTGTTCACTTTCAGGCAGCCAGCGGCACCGGGCCTTTCAATTTTAAAACGTACCATTTCGGAACGTAAGTGGGGCGCCCCCAGCAATCGCCCTGGTTTTCCTGAGCTCAAACTTCATAAACATTGTAGCCTTGATGGGACCCATTTTAAAAAAATTGTGGCAACATATACAGAACAGAGAAGTTACCATTCAACTGTTTGTAAGAGGACAATTCGGGGGCGTTGTCATGTGACTGTCACCACTGTCATCATCTCCAGAGCTGTTGTCATCTTGCAAAACTGAAACTCTCTCCCCGTCAATTGGGACCCGCCAGCCCTGGCACCCACTGTGCTACTTTCAGTGTCTGTGAGTCCAATGGCCCGAGGGACCTCGTGGTGGGGGACTACACACTGTCTGCCCTTCTGTGACTGGCTTACTTCCCTTGGCGGCCTGTCTTCAAGGCTCGTCCACGCTGTAGCCCGTGTCGGAACCCCCTTCCTCTCTGAGGCGGGGTCACAGTCCCTTGGAGGGAGTGGAATGACCACACCTTGGGTATCTCCTGGTGGCTTCTCAATCCACACCCACCATCAGTGTCCCTGAGAAGGGCACCTGGTCCGAGTCCATCGCTGGGTAGGGATCCAGCTGTGGACGCTGTCTCTCCGGCCGAAGAACCCCCTCCGGAAGCCTGGGAGGACCCACGCCTTTGGGCCTCCGTGGTGTGAAGTATCAACAGGTAAGAGCAGCACCTTTCAGCCTCATCACGGCCGACACTGCCCATGATTCCCCTCCACGCCAGCCGGGACGGGTACGGCCTGCCCCGGTCGCGGGGAAGCCCTGTGTCTGCGTCTGCGTCTGCCACCATCACATCCGACAATCTAAGCCAAAATAACTGCTTTCTCTTCAAATCAGCATCTCTTCTTAGAGGAGGCCCTTCTCTTGATTCTCACGGCTCAGGGAGAAGAAGCCGCTACTCTGAGAGGTTCATCTGCCGCATCGTTTAATCCTCTCTGCAGGGCATTTGCTTTTTGCTCCCTTCCCCAGTCTGCCCCCTGCTCCCTGCCCCCGCAGGCCCGCCTGCGCCTCGGGGAGGACCTGGCCCAGGGCTGGAGGACAAGGCAGGGCGGAAGTGCCGGGGTCTCTGTTCCTTTACCCCCACTAGCATCTGTAGCTGATGGCTGCTTCCCCTCAACGGCTCCAGCTCCTGCTGGGAGGACTCGTGTGGTTCCACCCCCCATCTGATGGGCCCTGGTAACACCACCTCCCGTCACTGTCCCCTAGTCCCAAGGGAGCGGTGGCTTCCTGCCTCTGATCACTGTTGTTGGGTGGCCTCCTCCTTCCCTTCTTGGATTCTCTGTGTCTCTCAGTTAAATGCTCAGGAAAACAGTGACCTCTCTAGACCTTCCCTCACTCACCCACACGAATGTGGACGACCTTCCTCCCGGGCCCACCGCTGCAGGGGGCTGTGCCCTGGGGCCAAGGCCCCGCCTTCTCCCCGCCTCCTGGGGGCTTCCCTTCCGCAGTGTGTCTCCTCCTCTGCGACCAGGTCCCCACCCTCTCAGGCCTGCCCACAGCTCCTACGCCTCGGCCTCTTTCTTCTCCGAGCCACACGGCACACTCTTTCCTGCCCCAAGTAGCGGCTAATTTTTTTTTTTTTCTAGAAGGCTCTCTACCTGTCCCCTCATTTAAACTCTACCAGTGACTCAGGCTCAGCTTGGCAGGTAGCCCTCTGCACAGAAGCCCTCTCTGTCCTTCACTTGCTGCATTTGCTTCGCTTTTATCTAGTGTCACTCTGTCCCCAGGAAGACTGTCAGCTCCGGAAAGCAGAAGCAATAGCTTGCACGTCCCCCCTCAGCACTGACACAAACAACACCCACTGCCCACACAGCGAGGGAAACTGCCCATGAACAGAGAACGGCCATGGTGAGGGCTTGGCGTGACCTGCGCATCCGCTTTCTCCCCAGTGTGACAGCTGTGTCACTGCCCCCAAAAGTGACGTGGTGGTCCTAACCCCGATACCTGTGAATGTGACCTTATTCGGAAATAAAGTCTCTGCAGGTGTCACGATGTTAAGATGATGTCGTTCTGGGTTAGGCTGGGCCCTAACCCAACCAGACTAGTGTCTGCATAGGAGAGAAAAATGTGGACCCAGACAAACGCAGAGAGGGGACACAGCCCTGTACAGGGGGAGTGGAGGCTGGGGGGTGCTGCCCCAAACCGAGGAGAGCCCGGGGCCCCGTGAAGCTGGACCAGACAAGGAAGGACCCCTCCCCCAGAGGCCCCGGATGGAGCTCGGCCCTGCCGACCCCCGGGCATTGGACATCCTGCCTCCAGAGCTGCGACACAGCCTCCTGTTGGTACAGGTCCCCAGTGTGAGCCACTTTGCTCCACCAGCCCCAGGAAGCGAAAAGCACGGAATAAAATAGCTATGTCTGTGCAGATCGAGCTTAGTGGCCAGCGTCCCGTGTCCCGGCCGGGGACAGACCTCGCACTGAGTACCCTCGGTGCCCAGCACGGACCGGGCGGGCAGAGAGGGGCAGAGTCCAGGAGACCACACGCAGGGCCGGTGGGGCGAGGAAGACGGCCTCCCCGCGGCGCCTCACCCCCACTCCGCTTTGAAGGGCTCCTCTCAAGAATGCGTCCCGACCAACTCCGCATCCGGCATCGGACTTAAAAGCTAAAAGCTCTCAAATCAAATTCCTATTTTTACAAAGCTTGGTCTTCGCCTTGCCTGTGACTTGTGACTGGAGTCTCTCCCCATCAAAACACATTCAGACAAAACTTTTAATGGCCGATTTTCAAAACGAAACCAAGGGAACAACAAAAACAAAAACCCCGTTTCTGGTCAAGTTCCAGGTGTTGCCACCTTTCAGGGGACTCCCAGCTGCCTGCTGGGCCCTCCCCACTTTTCTCTCAGCCTGTGACTTTAGACAAACTATCCCCCCCCCCCCATGTCAGAAGTGCACAGCCTTAGCTCCGGCCGAATGCGGTCAGGCTCAGCCCACTGGCCAAGGCCCAGACTTACGGTTCTGGAGGGAGCCTGGTGGGTGGGCGACGCCGCCGGAGGCCGGGCTGAACTCTGGAAGGAGGACGGGCAGAACCTCTGGCCCGCGTCCGGAGGGGAAGACGAGGCATAGATGCGGTTTTCCAGGCGCTCGGGCTCCTGCTTGTAGGACTCGAGCGGGAATGAGTGCTGCTTGGTCACTTGGGTGGGTGTGGACGGCGAGGAGGAGAGGCCGGAGGCTGCGGAGGGGAACGCAGGGGGTGGTCAGAGGCTCAGCTGTGGGGGAGGAGGGCGGCGCCGGGTTCCCCCACGTCCAAGGGCCAAAATCTCAAAGTGGCGAGAATGAAATGACGAAATTCCAAATATCGGGACAAGCTTTTATAAGCTGGTGTCTAATCCCTTAGAATGAGCTGAGCCCAGAACTCCCCTCGTTATCCAACTTTTTTCCTCATTTCTTTCTTTCTTTTTAAAAGATTTTTAAAATTTATTTTTACAAACAGGGAAAAGAAGGAGAAAGAGACAGAGAAACATCGATGTGTGGCTGCCTCTCACACGCCCCCTACTGGGGACCTGACCTACAACTCAGACTCGTGCCCTGACTGGGTATCGAACTAAAGACCCTTTGGTTCACAGCCCATGCTCAACCCACTGAGCCACACCAGCCAGAGCTTCGTCATCCAACTTGAGCCATGGGCGGGGTCCCCTTTGGGGAGGGGGGCTCAGACAGTTCAGAAGCTGTCTGGGGGAAGGGTCTCACACACTCCCACAGCAGGTGCTGCTTTCTCCCGTTCAGTCAGACCCTGTCTGACCCGGGTGGAGAGCACCTACAGGGTGTCCCCTGCTGCCTGAGATAAGACCTGGGAGAGGCCATAAACTAGTCAACAGAGGCCAAGGTCAGAGTTGCAGACACCACAGGACAACAATCGCTAAGGACCAGAGGACACAATGCACTGTTACTGCCCTGATGCACAGGGTGAATGCGGCCCCTGGGAGTCGGGGGAGTTTAGAGGGTACCATGAAGGTGGCTTCTGGGGGGTGGGGACTGCAGGCGAGAGGAGGGGCCCACACTGGGAAAGGGCCTTGCAAAGTGATGATGTAGAGGGTCAGGAACCAGGAGGAAGCAGATGGGGGCCGGGGACTGGGGACATGAACCTGCCCTTCTGGGGCGAACTGCGTCCCCTGAAGAGATGCACTGAAGTCTTACCCCCAGCACCTGGTCATACGAGGTCAGATGAGGTCATACTGGAGTGGGGGGGGTCCTTTGCCCAGTGTGACCAGTGTCTTTATGAGAGGAGAGGACACAGAGAGAGACACACACAAGGAGAAGGCCATGGGATGGCAGAGGCAATGGCTGGAGTGATGTGCCTACAAGCCAAGGAGTGACAAGCCACCTGAGGCTGGGGGAGGCCAGGGACCCAGAGTCTGGGAGGGAGGCGGCCCTGCCGGCTCCCCGGCTTCAGGGTCCAGCCCCCAGCCCCGGGAGCGGCTAAATTCCTGCTGTTTTAAGCCACCGGTTTGCGGCACTTGGTCACAGTGACCTCGGGAAACTGACACACTGTAAGGCTGCCTGGTACTGACATGTTTTCCAAGAGAAGCAGAACTGGGATGTGGGTCTGGTCTCTCCCAATTTCTAGGTAACTAAATAGAATTTTTATTTGAAATGCGTTATTTGGAATGTTTCAATCAGGTGAGTCAGAGCCCAGATGCCCGTGGACACGGCCAAGGCCACCCACTGGCTGCTTCTGACCCTGACGAGGACGGCTCAGCCCACAGCGCCACAGCCTGGGTCCCCTGTACCGTGCTCCCGGTGCCGTGTGCTGTCCCGGGCCGGGAAGGGTGCTGGGTAAATGCACACCAGCTGCCGACCTGCAAGGAGCGAGCAGGGAAACAGGAAAGCTCGGGTGCGTGCTTCCAGGGCAGAAGTAACCGAAGAAAGGAGCGGCGCCCCTTTCCGGGGAACCTCCCTACACCACGACATCACAGCCAGTGGGACTGTCCGTCCCCAAGCCCCAGGCTGGACTCTGGAGCAGCTCCTGTGCAAGTGGGACGCGGAATGCTCTGCCCTGCGTCTCCGTGAGTCGCAGAACTTCAATGAGGAAAGACCTCCTCCAGCAAAGATCCCGGTGCTTTGGGGGTACAAGGTTCCCCCGAAGGTCTTGAGAGGCAACACCTGCTTTGAGGCGGGGCTGCGGGGTGGGGGTGGGAGGGGAAGGAGAGGGAGGACCAAGAGCAGGAGGAAAGTGGATGGCGTAGCAGCTCAGCAGGCTGGCCAACACGGGAGGCCCCTGGCCCAGGTCCCAGCCCTTCTCCGGGCCAGGCTCCCGCGTCCTCACGGCACCAGCGCTCCCCAGAGACGCCCCCAGGAGGGTGAGGAATGAGGACGCCAGCCAAGGCTCAGAGGGGGTGGCCCAGCTGCCCGAGCTTGGAGTGGAGACCAGGAGAGGGAACTCCGGTGCAGGTTCGTTTGTGGGGCCTGGGCACCTCACTGGCCTCTGGCCCCTGGGGGTGATGGCGTGTGGGTCAAGAATTCTCCCAGGGAGAGTCCTTGGCAGGGGCGCTGGCTTGGCTCCTCACCCAGGACGGGCTAGTTCCCAGCATCACAGTCGAGTAGAAAACGTTACGGTCCATGCTCCTAACTCTTACTCTGGCCACTGGACATGGACTTGGCTTTGGGGAAGGGGGGGACCCAGCAGGGAATAGAGCAGGATGGGGTGGGTGCAGTTTAAGGGGCAGCCACACCCTAACAGCCCTGGAGAGCCCCCTGGGCAGAGACTGTCTGGGGGCATCAGTTCCTCACATAGCGGGGGGCCTGGCCCCAGTGATCTCCAGCACCCCTGAGTGACAGTGCGGAGCACCCACATCTGTCCCGCCTGGGCACAGTCCAAACCAGGCCCTCCCCTTGCCTGCGCCCTCACTTTCTGGCTCCAACCACGCCCACAAAGGACCTTCCAGAGGCCCGGAGTTTGGAAGGAAGCACCTGTGCGGCGACATTTTGGCAAAATCTATCAAAGTAACACACGCACACATCCTGACCGCACTTCGCTTTGGGACTGTCTCCTGCAGACACGCGTGTGTGGGGCTGCTACGCAGCGAGTGAGGGCGCCGTTCCTCACCACACGGCTTTGGACAGCAGGGCCAGGAGGCAGAGAGGCTCGCTCGCAGGGAGGGGTTCAATACCTGCGGCTCACCCACACGGACAGCCACGGTTGTGCACCCAGACAAGACGAGCCCCGTGATTGGTCTCCATGGCACAGTGGCACATCAAAAAGTGACCCTCACAGCCATCTGTACGGAATGACACGGTGCCCACGGGCCCTGCCTGTCTGCACACGCACCGAGCGTCTCTGCAAGGGTCTGGAACCGCCGTCACCGGACGTGGGAGCGGCTGGTGGGGAAGACTCCCGGCCTTTCTAATTCCAACCCGCACACCATGTAAACGTATCATCTACTCAGACAACGGCTTTTCTTCGGCCACGGTTCTGCTTTGGGGCTGGAGGCCGGCTCACACGGCATGGAAGCGCCTCCTGCCTCCCCTCCCGTACGGTCCCCCGCAGGAGAGGAGCTATGACGGGTCCCCTCCCTGACAGGCTGTCCCACTGACTACACTCTGCTGGGACCAAGCCCGGACACCGCTGTGTGAGTGACATTCATAGCTGGTGGGATGTCATCCTGGCTCATTCTGTGGGTACAGAACATCCATTCCTCAAGTGTAAATAACTAAAGAGCCCGGGACTCAGCAGCTTCCCCCCAAGAGGGCCCTTTACACCACAGCCCACAGCGTCTGCTTCTCCCGAGGCGCAGCCTGGGTAGGCTGTCCCCACGTGGTGCCGTCGCAGTGAGGCCAACCCAGTCCCCACGAGGGCAAGAGAGAAGCCGGGTGCTGAAGACACACTACCCTGGACCGCTTGGGATGCTGACAAAATAAGGCGGGCTTTTCATGCCGGGGGCGGGGGGGGGGGATAATTTGTTTCCAGTGGGACAGAATGATTCTCCATGGCCCTGACAAAAGATCCTCTCACCGAAATCTTTCCAAGTTCAAAGACACCTCCTGCCTGGCCTTCCTGCCTCCCCTTGGCTCCCTTCCCAGAGCCAGTGACTCCTGTGGACAAGGAGATGACCGTGCAAACTAGGATTCTGTGTGTGTTTTAGGGCGCAGGGGAGGAGCCTTCCTACAACCAACGCGCCCCCTCTTCTCACGACACCTGAAATGGCTTTCAGGGGGTGGCGCCTCCCACTAGCACCTTTTCTGGGGGATGCCTTGCTGTTTGCAAAGTGTTCTTACGAGTCCCCCTCCATGTGCTCCCCGAAGCCCCCAGCAAGAGCGGGGGCAGGCCCGTACCCACTTTTCGGGTGAGGAAACTTACCAGTGTGTGCGTGTGTGGTGGGGGGCTGTCCCAGGAACAGGAAGTGGACAGGTGAGAATATTGCTAAACTCTTTAAAAGATGCCAATGTCACAACTGGCAAATAGAGAGGAAAACGGAACAGTGCAGACGCACACCCCCGTTACTGTTAAGCAGACTGATCTGTTGCTCAAGCGTAGGTCCAGTCTTGCAGGAAAACCGTGCATCTGGTCAATAAGTGTGGGTGCTGAGGGGACAGCAGGGATCAGACAGAGCCCCGCATTTCTAGGGGATTGGGGAAAGTAGGACAAAAACAAAACCCAAACTCTAGTCGACAATATTGTCTAATAAACACTGAGAGTCAAATGTGGGACCCCAGGCAGGAGGCCTCAAAGAGCAGAGCGCTGAGGTGGGGGGCACGGAGGCGGGGTGGTGAAAGCCCCCAGAAACATGGAAAGCCCTGGGCCTTGCCTTCAGGGAGAAGGAAACAGATCTGCCCCAATCAGGGGACTTTCCGACGGCCCAGAATGACGGACAGGTTTCCCATTGTGTTCTCCAGGGAAGGCTTCCCTCCCTCTGCTGCTTCTTAAGGACTTCGCTCTGGACTGGACGGCTGTCAGAGAGGGACAATGCCTTCGATTCTTCCCGGGCAGCGGCCAGGATGAGTGAATAAGCTCCGTGGGGAGCAGAACCGGCTCCTGGCAGCCACACAGCACACCAGGCAAGTGGCCCCAGACACTGGGGAGCCAGGGGCTGACGACTTCACAGGGCCAACTGCGCTGGCAGGCGCTGCGTCTGGAGAGAGCGGGTGTGAGCAGGAGGGGGATGAGGGAGCCACTGGAGGAACATAAGCAGCGGCCTGTGGCTTCACCCCCAGGAAACATGGCCGTGAGCCAGC